CACAAGTGACTTGACTTAGCTACTCCATCCCTTTCCTTGCCCAAATATGCTATACAGCGAAAGTTGTAAGATAGGCTATTATCCCACCATCACTGGCTTCAGAGAAGTCTCTTGGGGATCAGGGAAGCCTGTTAAAAATTAGGGAAATGTAGTAGCTCCTCTAAGTTTCAAAAAGAATTGCTCAGGTCACTAATCTTAAAAAAAATTTAGAAGCATTATGTCATACTTTACTCTCACCTGTCCTGGTTTGTACAAGATGCCATATGCAACAAAGATCAGATTCCAAGATTTTAATATTTATTTTATATATTGATATGTTTTAGATTCTAATAAAACCCTTATGGCTTGATGATTTTTCTGGATACCTAAATGTGGTAGGTACTGTTATACACAAGATTGTAGATGTAAGATGCTATATATGCAAAGTAAAGAATTACGGTCTCTTCAACTCTGGTTTCTTTCTCTCTTTCATTTCAGATGGAGATGATTCAAAGAATATGTTAAATACTGAAAGTGTAGAGGATACAAACCTGCACCAGGTACATCTTTACAAAGAATCCTGATATTAATTTGATGCTGAACTGTTAACGGCTTGCTAGCAGTCTTCAGCAAGCTAAAACACTGTAGTGGGAGGACAAGGGGTAATGGCTTTAAAATAAAAGGGGATAGATTTAGACTGGATGGGAGGAAGTCATTTTTCACAGTGAGGGTGATGAAGCACTGGCATAGGAAACTACTATTTCTGAAATGTGTTTCAAAACCACCACATAATGTACTAGGTGTTTCATACCCAGCAGGGACTGAAACAGAGTGATATTCAATGTTATGTCAATGCCTTGGCAAGCAGTATCTGATCCTTACTGGTACTTGGGATAAGCTGCAGCCTCATGAAAATGCACGACAGAGGCAATCAGCAGCCTCGCATGGACAGTGGTTCTCACTGAGTTTTTGAAAGTGCTGCAGAGGTAATTTACAGAGAGCATGGTACATCAGTGCCTCTTTGTACTTGCAGAAACCTGACTGAAACTGCAAGATGTTACTTGGCTTGCAGCAATAAGATAGCTGCTTCTTGCCTCCGTGTAGTAGGTTGTCTTGGGTTTCAACTGGAAAGGGTTAGGGAGCCACTGTCTTGCACAGGGGTTGCACATTTATGCTGTGAGACCTCAGGAGCTAGTGCCTCACATGAAGACAAGACACCATGGTCAGTCACTTTGGTCATAGTTTGTTTGCGTACAGCACAACAGCTTTTGGCATTAGAAGCTGTACTCTTCTCCCTCTCCTTTCCACCCCTTTGAACTATGATAACTGGTACTATCTGAAACGTGTAATGCAGTGTGCACACTTTATTCTTGCTTCCTGAAGTTTTATGTGGTTATGATAACTGTCCTTGTTAGTCACAGTAGTGCAGTCTATGGTGTCCTTAGAAATGTTGTACTATAACAGCATCCATGGTGTGTAGTCTTAGATGACACTTTACAACAGTAGTTGATTGATGAAGTCGAAGGTGTTGTAAAGATTTAATTGCGAAGACCTATTACTGTGGCTGTGTAACTGATGATTTCAATAGTAGTGTGAGTTGTTGCAGTGTTTATGTTCTGGTTCTATCTCCAGATACAAAGTAAACAACGAGGTAATTCTAGTTAGCCACTGGCCTTTGGAGCAGTTCTATTGTGAGATTGCCATGAGTTAATTCTGCATGTTTTTGCTGTGTTATTTCCTTTCCTTTATGATTTCCTAGAATCATTGCAGACAGGTTTGCTGGAAATGTGAAACTGTGGTATATGACCGCAGGAGAAATGTGATTTTAATTCTTTAAAGGCAGAGCATTAATTCAAAATCAGTTGAAGTTTTCATAAACAAAGTGTAAAGCACTTCAATAATATTTATCATTGGATTTCATCCATTAATTTTTACACTTTTATACACATATTTCTTAGTTCTTTAATTTCCTTGTCCTGCTGTCTTAAAAAGCTACACAGGCAGAGGAAATCAGTTAATTTTGTAACAGCACCGTTTTCTTTTAGTATATAGTAAAGCAATTTATCAGAAAATGAAATTAAGTATATGGCCTGTTTTGCAGATGGGACAGTTCAACAGGATAATACTAAAGCATCAAAGAAAGTTTTGCTAAAAATGAGCAAAGCGGAAAAACAAATTTGGTGAAATATACAAAAAATAAAGTTCTTCAGGATTCTGAAGGCAGAAACCCAAATTAAAAAAAAAGGTTCAAATAAGTCAAATAGATCTGCTATTCTTATAGCAGAGGCTACAGCCAAGAGTAAAACTATTCAGAAGTAATGTCTCTCATTAGATGGACCTCATGTTAAGGCCCACTTACAAACCCAGAAACAGTTAAATTACAGAAAACATATTTACCTGATGCTGAACCCAATAAAATGTCCCACACTGTTGCTGTTTGTAAGCATAATTGTTGCATCCCAGTTAATGGTGTAGGAAAACTGAGGTAAGTCAGACAGAATTGCAACAGGAATATGAACTCAACAGTGGTAACAGTGACAATCCATTTACAGAAGAAAACATCAGAACTGGTGGAAGCTTAGCTACTTCAGTTGTAACAGGGGAGGAGATCACCAGGTTGTGTTGCCCCACATCAGTGGTTTCTAGAGAAAAAGTATGTGCACAGCATTCTCAGACTACTGATTTAACAGAACTTGATTCTCAGTCAATACTTACTTGCTTTGGCTTCCTCTCACAATGTACCTGTTTTAAAGTTACAACAGGAAGTCAAGAGTTATGACAGTGATCAACATAGTCTCAAGCAGAGTAAGAGTAGTAGTTTGAGTGACAGGAAACTAAATACCAATATGAGAATACCTTAAGAATGAATTATTTCTTTGCAAAACTTGACAAATCAAGTTAAATCTGATGTTGATGGGAAAAAAAAATAATGGAGAGGCACTGCGTTTAAAACTCTCTTAGCCTTTGTTTGAACAGATTTCCTTACAGACAGATGAGTCAGAACCAGCACGTGCAAATCTTACGAATTCAGACAGCATGGACACACTGCAACAGAGTATTGTAAATGAGGTGCAAAACATTTCTACTAATACATCTCAAGATGCAACCAGCTGCACAGAACAGACACTTCAAGCAAACACAGAAACACTGTTACCACATAAGCTTTTAGCAGCTACCAAGCTTACCAATGGACAAAGTGTTTCTGGAAGTCCTTATAGTTCTATCAGTGGTATACTAAGCACCACTGAGCAAAAGGCTCCACAGCCAGAGAAGGGAAGGAGGATCCTGCTTAATGCAGAAGAAGGTGTTGAAAGATGTCACATTGAAACTGAAAATGCTAGTAGTTTAGAGATTGAGCCTCAAACTTTACAACTCCATGGAAAGGACACACTTCAAATTAGACAAAAGAGAGAGGATCTTCAGGAGACCAACTCAAATGCAGATTTGCATTTTGGTGTTAATGCAGACAGCATGTCTCCTTATTCATTTCAGATTGTGGAAAATATGCAGAAAGAAACCTCCCAGGAAACAGGTGCCATGTTTTGTTTGAAAATAATTATTTTATGAGTTTGTTGTAAACTTACTGTGTATTTTATTAAAAAAACCCAGCTGTGTATCTCCAGAGAATGTATTTTGCCATAAATAAGTAGCAGACACATGGAATGTATTGTGGTACAGTCCACTATGCCAAATTAACTATCTAGTAATTTTTGCTTTGTATTTTGGGGGGCTGTTTTATATCCAAGTCCCCATTGTATGTACTAAAATGTGAGCGCAATGGTCATTACAATAATTAGAATGAAATTCTTAATTACCTTATTTTTTTTAATACCTAAGAATCAATAAAGGTCATATTTTCACAAAAGAATCTTTGAATGTATGTTCAATGTATGAATCTCAGTATGTTAACATACAGTGAATAGTGGATAAAGGATTTATTATGTTAAAGCATTTTCAAAAATTGAGTGAGTTACTGGAGGAATTTTTTAACCTAGACTAGGTGGTCATTTTGACATTTGTTTTAGTATCAGTTAGAATTTCTGAAATTGCTAAGTATTATGCCATACATACTCTTAAGTTCTTTTGTTAAACCAACAGATGAAGAAGTGTTTGCAGGAGTAAATGGAATAGAAGGCCCTGGAAAAAATGGAGAAGGAAGTGCAAAGGCCAACATGCTTTCACACTTTACTGAAACAGAAGTTATCCAAACTAAAAGAGTAAGATTAGACTCTCAGATGACGAACCAAAAGGCAGTCTCATATTCCAGTAGCAGCAAAACCAAGCTTTCATCTACAAAATCACAATTCAGTCAAGCATCAGAACAGCAAACATCCAAGAAATCAGGTGAAAAGTTAGTAATATTTTATAAAAATGGAGGGTGTGGTTCCCGACATAATATGAGAAGGATTTTTGTAATACATGAGGGAAAGTTTGGAAAAATACATATAGCATGTTGAGCAAATACTCTAGTGAGTTCCAAATACTTGAAATCTTTCCAGATCTCCTGTACTCAGTTTTACAGAATGCACATACTTTGTTTCGTTTATGTTACATTTATCAGTCTTTCAGCATTGTGGTTGAGGGGATAATAACTGAGAGCTTAAAATAACACTAAATTGGTCCTCAGTTAACTAGTTTATATATCACAGATCAAAGAAGAAAACCTGGCTCTCCATGTATTTGGCATACATATATCCCCTTATGTTTATAGACTATATCTTCATCAGGCACAAATCAGCATAGGCTCTGATTGTACTGGTATATTTGGTTTTAGCTGTATTACAGAAACAGACCTACTTATATGAGGATAAGGCTCAAGCATCCTCTGGTAGTTATAATCTCTTCTGCCGGCACATACAGTTTTCTGTTTAGAAGTTTCATCCCCTAAGACTTGCATTTATCTTGTAGCCTTACCATCACAATAGAGTGCTGGTCCAACTGATTACTCGTCATAACCCCCCAGTATTTTTCACTTAATTCCTGCTTTTTTGGTAAAGCTAGCAGTCATCTTGTGTACTCAGGTTCTCTCTGGAACCAGAGAACCATAGCACTCAAGACTTACTAAAACCAAAACCTGTAGTTTGAGTGGGATTCCTCTTCTCTTAAAACTTTTAGATGTAAAATACTTGGACTGCTGATTCAAAATTGTTTATCCTCATATCACTTGGCATTCTCCTTAACTTGTGTTGAAATGAAAAGAACTGTGTCATTAGCTGATAGTGATTTCTTGTGTAGCTTTGCCTTGATATGGAATAGAGTATTTGTCTTTTCTGTTTACACTAGACAATTCTGTCATTTCTCTGTAGTAATTAAGAATTTGGGAATTATTTTTTCTGGTTTTGATAAATTTTAAAATACTGCCTTCTTAGGACCTTAGCTGTTTGTGACTATCTCCTTATATTCTTTTGGTTTTCACAACAGTTTTCTACAACTCCATATTTATATTTGCCACCATTCACTTCCCTCTTTTTTTTCTCATTTACTGTCGCAGTCTAATTCCTTTCCTAAGCCACCTTAGTGTTTGAAATGGTGCAGCTTTCCATTTTGACCATGGGATATGTTGTGAAATACTTCCTAGCTATTATTCGTATTGTTCTGCTGACATTTTTCCTTCACACTGTTTTTTATTTATAATTGTTTCTAGCTCTGTGAAACGTTCCCTTTCAAATAACTACTGTGGCAGTGTAAATGTATACTTTCTATATACATACACAGGAAAAGGTGTTTTTTATATGTATAGGTTTATAGAAGTATGTGGGAATGCATGTGTATTTGTGTGTGGATATAATATTTGATTTATTTTTTTCCAAGTGTGTACAGCAAAAAAATTTAGTTTCTTCCTTGGACTGCAGTTATGTGTTGCTGGGGTCTGTTTGTCAAACTTTGGTTGCCCTTGAGTAGGATGTAAATGAATGGTAACATTAAGTAGGTCATATATGTTTTGAAAATCAATGAGATTCATGCTCCTACATCCAGTAAATGCTTTTAAAACCAGTGTACATAGCAGCATGTATGCTTAAAATAATACGTATATCAATTATACACGCCCACCTGTATACACACACACAATATGGACAAATACATCTGCATATATACTATCAACATACTAATTTGTTTACCTGGGTTTTTTTTTGCTTAGTATCCTCCTTCTCTTTGGAGACTTTGTCTGGATGCTCACCAGTCTTATAGGTTAAATTAAGGAGTCATCAGCCAATCTCTATAATGTCCTGTAACACATGACAAAAAACATTCAGGAAACTATGTGCAGTTCCTGTTGATCCTTTTCTCTTTGATAGCCACAGTCCTCTTGTCCTCTTCTGCCTTCAGCTGTAGAGAATACTGTTTCCTCTTCCTGTCTCAGGTGGTTGCTAGTTTTCAACCCCTCCTAAGTTCCTGCTTTCTTGAGTTTCTGGACTGCAAGCTTGTGTTTTCCTTTGGAGGTTGAAGGGACAAGGAAAGGAGTAGGTGCTTCTTGTTACTTACTGCTTTTCAATATTTGGCAGTGTCAGTACTTAGCTTTCCTATCTCCAAATTGGTTCATCTTGTTGTAGGAATGCCTTTTTTACTTCATTCTGGAAAAAAAATCATGGCATATCTGATACCTGTCATCATCCACTGCTAATTATTGGAAGAACAATCATTGAACATAGAAATTACTCCTTTAAAAAAATGTCCTTTTTCATAGCTCCTATATTCCTGCTCAATCTCTGTAGTAAGATCTATGTGCATTAATACATTTCTGGATTTTTTTCTTTTATATTTTTTGCCTCCTATATTTACAATTACGATTTTATCAGAACTTTATTCCAAACTTATGTCTTACATTTTGGTCTCTTCTGGAATAGCATTTCACAGATTACTTTCTCCCCCAAAAGAGACTCTTCACATAATATTTATTCAGATAAAATTTAATTATTTCCTTCATCCCAGGAGAATTGCTGTTTGAGAGGTGACACGAGAACGTACAGCCCTTTGTACAGTTGACTGCATTGATAGCTTTGGAGACTGGATCAATGGCATTCAGATGGCAGCAGGAAAAAGTGGAAAATGGGATAAAGTTTTCTGACTTGTGGGGTTTTCAGATTTTTTGCTGTCGCATGCCTCTTCATCATTTTCTGGTTTTTGTATCTCATCTGATTGTTCCTGTGTCCCAGTGGTCTTCCTTATATTACTCTATTCTTGAATAAAAATATTTTCTTCCTAAATGACGCAAGGTCACTTTCATCTAAAGTCAATCACTTACTAAGCTCTCAACATTCCTATTCTGCTTATACAGAAGGAACATACAAACAGCTTGCTGCTTTTCTTATAGTTAATCTGCGGAAAGAATTACTCATAGACCAATGTTGAAATATTCAAATGTCTTTCTGAAGGAGGATATCCTTGAGGTGGTTGAGGTATGTCAGCCTAATCTACTCTGAATACTGATTACTGTAATCTCTCCATCTTCAATTTGTGCATTTGCTGACTGGATTTTGTATTTGCCAAGTTCCTGATCTTTCCTG